TGTTTGTGTATTTTGTCTGTCTTAGAACCGTGAGGAGATAAGAAAAGGTCTAAGACATTAGGAAAGAGGATTATGAATACAAGCCAAGCACATGAGCATTAACAACAGGCCCCTTCATGATAAACCACTTTGTTTGGTTTTACTGAAAAAAATAAAAATAAACTCAACTCAACTTAAATTTTTTCTAATTAAACATGATTTCTTCCTGAGTTTTGGTAACGGGCTGCATGTCTGCAGTCTTTAGATAAGTCATTTAAATTAGTCATATGGGGAGTGACTGAGCGTATGAGAACACAGGAAATGAAACCAAGATGTTTAGTGCAAAGCTGAAAACAGAATTTGGTTTGGAAATTCTGAGATGTGAACCTTAGTAAAAGTATTTGTGGCTTGGAGATAGCAAAGTCATGTGTTGTCACTAGACCACCCGATTTGAATATAACTCTGAACCAAAACCATATATGAAACAATTATCATTAAATGTCATTTTTCAACATTCCTTTTATGACAAATAAACTAAAAAATAACATATTTGCAATTTTCCTAAGTGAAGTCTTACTTAAACAGTTTTGAAAGTAAAAACATCATACATCATATTATATCCACGTAAAAATTTCATATGCGATTGTGTCTAATTAGTAACTTGTATATCCAAAATAACCCTAAAACACATTATTTTTTAACATAATTTGCATAACAAATTGGATGCTGACTTTAGGAGTGTGTTTTTTTAAATTGGCATCAGTTAGATAGAGACAGCTGCTCATGTCTCTAACCCTGCTGGCATAAACAGACAGATCTTGACTAAGAGGTCATAAACACATGTGGACCTTCACATCAGCATACTTAAATTAGGTTATGAAACACTCCAAGTATATACAAGCGTTTTTAAGAGTTAGACTTAGTCACTAATTAGCAGTGTTGGGCAGTAACTAGTAACTAGTAACTTAGTTACTGTAATAATATTACTTTTTGCAGTAACTAGTAGTGTAACTAATTACTAATAAGATTTCAGTAATAATATTACAGTTACCATCCATAAAACAGCTTAGATACTTAGTTACCTTTGATGCCTCAACCCCACTGATTTAAAATCCAACAATCAAATAATTCCTAGATTTATTTTCATAATTTTCACGACTCGCACATGCATGTGATGTCCCCAGTGCAGCAGGCAAGCTTGGAATATGGAAAAGCTTACATTCAGCAGATAGAAATATTGCATTATATTGATTTTGTCAGGAAAAAAGATGATCATGAGCACTTTTGTGTAAGTTGTGGCTTTACTTTACTCTGGCATAACATCCCACCCACATCCTTCTGATCAGCATGTGGTACATTATATTACTATAATTAAAAATCTTTTTGGAAATGTAAAGTTTCTTACAAACTTAATGAAATATAATCGTATATATGTGTAATGGAGAAATGATAATTAGCTTCAAGTTACACATGACAATGAGATTAATACAACACTTCTACTTGAATGTGACTATCAATCACTAGAATGTTATGTGGAAGATACACAGTTACAACTTCTGTGGGGCGTGAAGAAAAAGTAATGTAACTAGTAGTGTAACTAATTACTGTTGCAAGAAAGTAATAAGTAAAGTAACAATATTACTTTTGAAATTAGTAACTAGTAATGAGTAATATATTACATTATTTGAGTAACTAGTCCAACACTGCTAATTAGACACAATCGCATATGAAGTTTTTACATGGTTATATCTCCAAAGTTATAACCATGTAAAAACTGTCATGAACCTTTAGATGGTGCAGTCCGATAGGTCTAAATAAATCTGACATAATGCCATCATCACAGGGTGCAGCTATTGTTTTTTTTTTTGTATCAACAGCCAATACGCTTGCTGCTCAACATTCAAATACTTGTATTCAGCAAGTGATTGCTGTAGCAGTTGCAGCACACTTCAGAAACCCTCCACCTTCCCCAGCTCCACCTGTATAGATCTGCTACGAGGTGATTCATGTATGCTACATATGGGGGGTTTTATATGTTATATGTGCAGCAGCAGTATTTCTTACATGCTCACAACAGCATGTCTGTGGATGTCTTAGCAGTAACAAGTCTCTGTACTTGCTCTACCACAGCACATGACAATGTTAATGTGTTTAGTTTTGGCAGAATAGATCTGCTATGCTGCTGCTGCTACTGCTGTGGCAGAGCAACCGAGACTTGCTACTGCTAATACATCCACAGACATGCTGCTGTGAGCATGTAAGAAATACTGCTGCTGCACATATAATATATGAAAAAACCCCCATATGTAGCATACATGAATCACCTCGTAGCAGATCTATACAGGTGGAGCTGGGGAAGGTGGAGGGTTTCTGAAGCGCGCTGCAACTGCTATAAAAAGCACTAGCAGAGTATTTGAATGTTGAGCAGCAAGCTGAATGGCTGCTGATGTGAGAAAAAAATCAGTTGTGCCATGTGAATGATGATGTGATTATATCAGATTGAGTTAGAGCCTATCGGCCATCTAAAGTTTCATTACAGAACATTGTATAATTATTATTTATAATATAAATAATGAACTCCCACTACAACTAACGTAAGTGGTAGTTCAGTAGTAATGTGTGTCTTTTTCAGTGACAGAAACTTCAAAAGTTCTGACAATAGGTCTTACTTACCTTACATTCATGAAGTAACTGCAGTCTGTTAATATTCTTTTGTTCTGTGATCACTTTACTATTGTCCATTCAGCTATGACAAATGTATTGATATTATCTGTATTTTAGAAAATCTTACATTTCACATAATTAACCAGTTGGTGTCAGAGTGAACAGAGCATAATAGTGATCAAAACACCTTTACATGCCATTTGAGCAGAGAGCACAAGCCCTATAAACTTAGACCATCTGTTACAGCAGGTGTGGGTTATGATGAGAGCCCAGATGTCCCAGTCTGATCCTTTTTCATCCTCAGAAAAAGGTTTCCATCAGTCACTACTTCCATTATTAACAATATGTTCAACACTGCATTTCCCATTCAACACCCTTTAAATGAAGCCCTCGAAGGATAACATATAATAAAAAATAAAATAACCTTAACAAAGGTGCTTTAATTAATATATTAATTATACTGACATATTGTTTTAACTAACCCTTTTTTCTAATTTAGGTTGTCTGAGAAAGAGTTGGGACTAATAACAAATCTTTTCAGCTGTGTTTTTAGGGACATCGTGTAAAACAACTGATAGTGGCACTTAGTGGCATGGATGCAGTGTCATTCAAAAAGATGATCAGCAGTGACATTGTACTGTAGATATGCATTATTGTCAGTCATGACAAATTTATTCTACAAGCAAAAGTGTCTAATAAAAGATGGTTTGTCAAGTTTTGCATTCCGCTTGTCTATATAAATATATAGCTGAATTTATTCAGCATTAGTGTAGATGCATTTTGACCTCTTTAAAGGGTTAGTTCACCCAAAAATGAACCCTCATGTCGTTTCAAACCCATAACAAATTAAGCTATTTTTGATGGAATCTGAGAGCTGTCTGACCCTGCATAGACAGCAATACAACTGAAATGTTCCCAAGTCCAGAGACGTAGCAAGGAGATCGGTAAAATAATCCATGTGACATCAGGGGTTCAACCGTAATTTTACGAAGCTACGAGAATACTTTTTGTGCGCAAAAGAAAAAAAATAACGACTTTATTCAACAATTGTCTCCTCCGCGTCACCCGGTAGCGCCATTTTGGAGAGTATCAGCTGGACGTAAACAACTTGTGCTGTTCTGTGTCAGCTGCGTCATGCCGGATCTGTTTCCTACATTGTTGTGATTTGATCTGAATGAAAACAGTGTATCCGTGTGACGTTTAATTTTTGGGTGAACTAACCCTTTAACCTCCTCCTTTGTTAATGTGATTGATAGACCTCTTTGTTAAGCCATGTAAACAATATTAGAGTTATTAAATAACAAATGGGTTTCTCACTGTGAATTTCAGGTAAGTTATGCCTAAGAAATCAAGTTCAAGTTCATTTTATTTGTATAGCACATTTACAACAGCCACCAGGCTGACCAAAGTGCTTTACAGAAGAGCAAGATTATACCACATACACAGAAAACCCGTTTAAAAATGACCATATCACAGTAGTCAATACACTAAGGAAAACAAGGTTTTTAGCAATGACTTAAAAACAGACAGAGAAGGGGCCATTCTAATCTCTAAAGGCAGGGTATTCCAAAATCGTGGCCCTGCCACCGCAAATGCAGGCTCCCCTCTACGCTTAAGCCTAACGTGAGGGACTATCAACAAAGCCTGGTCACAGAATCATAGGCTTCTAGAAATGTTGAGTGCAGTGTACTGGGCAGTGCAAATACTGTAGTAACAGCCAACCAGCTGTTTGTACTGTATGTCGTGTTCACAAATCCCCCTGAGGATACCATGAGAATGTCCCTCGAACTGCTTTTGAAGAAGCCGATGTTCTAAAATAGTTTGACACCCACCTCATTCCCTCAAAACCCAGAAGACTGATGCCAAGGAAACCATTTATGAATTTATTATACCAACAGGAACAATGTGAGTAGGAGTTTTAAAGCTGATTGAGTTTGATGTCTATCCAAGCTCATCCTGTTAGGATGAACGTGCTGTGTGTTATGAAGCTTTGGGAGCAGTTGTTATTGTTATTCTGGCCTCATGACAGCGAAAGTGATGCCACGGTTAGGACGTGCCCTAAATGGACACATGCTATGTTGGAGGTGGAGCACTGAACACAGACAACAGATGCAAGCGTATTATCACAGTTCTGTCGTCCAACCAAATGAACCTGAGGCTGACACTCTCATTCATACATGTACTCCTCAATAGCTAATCCCTAAATACAATTCTGTGTCTATTTTTATACATATTGTAGCCAGAAAAAAGACGAGTACTAATCAACTAATAGGATTGGGAGCGAAATGAACATTTTATAACGTAGGCCGTGTAAGCCAAAGAGAGGGAGGAGAGTTTGCACTATAAAGGCGGACAAGACAAACTGGGAATCACACTAGGAAACTATCAACACTAGCTACAGAGCAGTGCTCACGTGCAACAGTCAAGAGCAAAGCAGAAGACGCTCTCTCAGGTCTCTCTCAGGTCGCAAACCAGGTAAGATCTGAACTGTCATCACACTGAAAAATGCACTTAGACTTTGAGGTGCACGTGTAAGAGTTTAGGACCGCTGTTGATTTGGATTCAGTTTATATGAGATTGTTCAGTGTTAAGACTAGCATTATTGTTCACTATAGGAAGATTGAAATGTAGCATAGTATTTGTACATTTTCAGAAAAAAATAGTACTAAAGTTGTCAATAGGATGGCACCCTTTAAAAAGGTACACATTTGTACCTCATTTACACCTAAAGGATGCATTTTAGTACACAAGTGCACATATTAATATATAAATGGTACATTTTAGTACCTTTAGGAATGGGTACTGCCCCAGTGACAGCTTTTGTGCCTTTTAATCTGAGAGTGTACTTAAATACAAGATAACAAGTTGCTATCATGTAGACTACAGACCGAGGAGCATCAGTTGTTTGCATATTCAGTGTCTTGCTTTCCAGTTAACTAAACATTATGCTAATTGATATAACCCTAACCTGAAGGAATGAGGTCATCTTTATAAAGAATATTCATAGTCGGTCATGAGAACAATAGTCAGCTAAATGTGACATATGATGCTTAGACTTGAGAAAAGATTGTGATCATTGTGTTTTGTTATAATTTCTAAAGTTTAATATTTGTTTCGTTTTATTACTTTTGAACCACACAAGCGAATCAATTTAACTGAGCATACACACTAAGTCACACTATAGAAATAGTGTGATTTTTAAACAAGAGCATGATGGATGAATTTTGCTGGCCAAAAAAGTGTCTTATATTTCATGTGATTTATTCATATTCATTTACACATGAATAGTAATTAATTCATCTTATTTGTTGGGTATGCTCCTGTTTAGACTTTAAAATATTTAAATAATATTTAAAATATGTACTTTTAAATATTTCCAAAGGCCACGCAGTCCCACATTTTAAAGGAATTTAACTTGTCTTCTCTTAAAATGTTTTATGCACATTTATATAATGTATTTAGCAAAGTACAACTCATTTTGCACCAAGTGAAAAAGATGACTAAACACTTTTCAAACATAGTGCTTGAATATTCAAAGTACATTGCAGCTAGTTGGCCTCATTCACAGAGACACATTAAAAACAGATAAGAGCTAATCATGAGTGCGGCTTGTCCGGAGGATTATGAAGTAGTCTATCGTTATGCTAATCTCCTCTTCCCTGATTAGCTCTAGTGGATTGAAATCTCAGCAGGACAACATACAAACATGAATGGTTTTCCAAACACTATTCTTAATTCAGGGAAGGATGTTGGTACTTTTAATGTTGCTAAATCACACGACTGCCCTCTACTGGCACATTTTACACTCCACCCTTTTCACTTCTCATTTCAGAAAGCCTCAGGTGACTTTCCATAACCATGGCAAAGTAAGTTTGTGCATATTAATTTATTCCCTGAGTGCAGGATTAAACACTATTCTTAATTCAGGGAAGGATGTTGGTACTTTTAATGTTGCTAAATCACACGACTGCCCTCTACTGGCACATTTTACACTCCAACCTTTTCACTTCTCATTTCAGAAAGCCTCAGGTGACTTTCCATAACCATGGCAAAGTAAGTTTGTGCATATTAATTTATTCCAGCAATGTATAAATACTCGAAATATGAGTCATAAAGACATTCAAAACATCATAATCAACATTTAAATGCATTTAAGACCATCCTTTCTCTGTATCCTACAGACTATTCAATATTTAATTCATATTTATGACACCTAGATTAAGCAGGCTTCATGTAATGCTCCTACACCCTGTTCACTAGTAGTATTAAATCTGTAGAAGTCTTTTTGGTCTTCAATCCTAGTGGATTACCAGATTATAAAAAATCCCTTTTAGAGTGGATTGACAGGATTACCACAAGAGTTTAAAAGCAACAGTGCAGAGTTTAGCATGTGCAGATGACTAATCACCTCACGGAGACTAACATATTAAAAGCATGCAAAAGCAAAAGACATTGTACTCTCATAATGATTATCAATGATTATAATATCAAGATTTTAATGTTGTTTCTACAGGGTTTACAAGAAGACTAGTGGCAATGGTTCGGTAAGGCTCCCTTTATACTGCTTACACTTCCCATTACTTGTCATCTGCTCCAAATGCACATGCTCTCAACCAGGATTGCCAGATCTGAGTATCAAAACTAGCCCAATGACCCTAGCCCAAACATCAAAACTCAAAACATGCCACTCCAAGATCTAAAATAGATATTATGCATTACACCCATTTTTAAATCACTATATAGGCTAGTAGTAATTATAAAAACAGTCTGTTTTATAAAGTACCTCACAGGAGTTCAATGGCTCCCATCCCTCACAAAACTCATCATCTAGCACAGTTTTATCATTAGTAGAATACAATATATCAGTTTAGGCATTTCAGTCAAATATAATTTATGATATATGTCAAACCTTTTCATTTTATTTAATATGTCAAGTTGGGAAAACAACAACCCCCTTCAACGGGAAAAGCACAGAATTGGCAACCCTGCTCTAAATATATTTATAAGACACAAGCACACGTGATAATCATCTCAGTAATCATTTATTACAGTTATGCCTTTATTTGGGGAGAAGAGACTTTGTGGACCATGTGGAACATGTTGACCCAGTTGGTACGTTCTCGGCTACTTTTACGTTGTTTTACGTAGATTATTCCCTAAGATTGTGGTAAATTTGTAACTTTTTTTTTTAATTAAATGTATATATGTATATCTATACACATTACTCTAGTTCAAAAGACTTGTAATTTCCCTCTCAGATGGGGTGCTCAAAATTGATCCTTCAGCTCTTAATGGAAGGAAAGGTATGATTTAATCTAAAACATTATCATTATGAACATTTGTCATTCATTTAATTCATTTAGACACTTCCTCTAAATTATTAAATTTTTTAGTGTGGATACAGCTTGCATGTGCCTTCCGCTATGGACGAGAGGATCTGGATGTGATTGGAGTTTCCTTCAGAAAAGACATCTGGATAAAGCGCATTCAGATGTATCCCTTTGAGGGAACCAAGAACCCAAACACTCCAATGCAGGATGCGCTTTTGAAGAAAGCTGGAGACCAAGGACATCCCTTCACTTTTGTAATTTGTAATGTAAATTCACATTTATGCATTAGGCATTGTGAAAACAATCAAGGATGTCCTTCATTGGTGTCTCTTCTGTTCTTTCTCAGATTCCAGTACATTTCCCATGCTCAGTGTCCCTTCAGCCAGCACCAGAGGATGCCGGGAAGGTACAGCAGCAGAAAAACATGCATATGTGCAAATACACTCACAAACAGAAAACTATGATTCTCCAATATGTAACATGTCTACTTTTACAGCCTTGTGGAGTTGACTATGAAGTCAAAGCCTATATTGCAAATGAAGAAGACGAGACAGATGAAAAAGTTGACAAGAAGTATGTACTGCTCCATTTTAACATAAAGATACTCACCATCAAAATGAATACATTTTTATTCTGATTCCAATATTTCTACCAATAATAGGGACACTTGCCGTCTGATTATTCGTAAAATCCAGTATGCACCAAATGAGCTAGCAGCTGGACCCAAAACCGATCTCAACAAACAGTTTATCACTGCAGACAAACCAATTCATGTGGAGGCCTCCATGGAGAGAGAGGTACAGTGTTTTAAATGCCTGTTGTTGATAATTCATGAAATTGTGATGTTTTCATCATTTGCAGTTCTATGTCTCTTCATTCACTGTTGATTTCTCGCCCTTCAGCTCTACTATCATGGAGATCCCATTCCTATCAAAGTGAAAGTGAATAATGAGACCAGTAAAGTTGTGAAGAAAATCAAAATCAGCAGTAAGTATTTTTATTATTCATATTAGAGAACTAAACAGCCAGTTTTCACCCATTTAAACTACTTAAAAGTGATATATACAATGCTTACATATATACGATCATCAAAAACCTATCTGCTAACAAAAAAACAGAAACCTTTATAGAATTTTTAATGGTTTTAATGGGGAATTGTATTGGATTTAATGGAAACTTTAATGGTCCCTTTGGGTCTCTATTGGTAATTTGTTGCCTTCTATTGATGGCATGTTAAGAACATTAATTCCTAATGGAATATGGCCCAAAACAAAACACACTACTGGACAGGGTTGCCAGGTCTATGTAACAAAACCAGCCCAAAGGTCAATTTCACAGGAAAACTGGGTATATATAGCACCTTTAAGAATGATTCATTATTGCTTATAACTAGAAGTATGTGTTTCACACAATGATCCACAATAAACTTTAACTCATTGTATGTTTCAGTTTACCAAATTACAGATGTACTGCTTTACTCAGCGGACAAATACGACAAATGTGTTCTGAATGAAGAATTTGCGTGAGTGCACAGAACTTCACATCACATTTGTGAATTTGTCTGAGAATTGTTAGTATTATTTTTGTAGCACATTTAATAAATAATGTTAAATAATATCATACTCAAATAATATCATAATTGTTCACATTTTTCATCTTTAAACAAAAAACAAGTTTGTTTTTGATTGTTCTTGAGAGGTGAACAAACCCCTTTTTGTAACAGGGATCAAATTAATGCGAACTCCACCTTTGAGAAGGAATATAGAGTCACTCCTCTGCTTACCAATAACAAAGAGAAATGTGGTCTTTCACTGGATGGCAAACTGAAAGATGAAGACACCAACTTGGCTTCTTCAACAATGTCAGTTAATCTTTATTACAACATTTGAGTATATCCTTAAATTGGTAGTTGGAAAATATAAAAGTCATCGGTATTAGATTAGATTTTCATGCTCATAGTCCAAATAACATCTCTGTATTTTTATACAGTATAAAAAACTTGTATTTATAAAAATGCAAGGCAGATAAACAAGGTGATTTTTCTGAATCTCTGTATCTCTCTGCAGTCTGCTACCCAACATGGATAAACAAATACAAGGCCTTGTTGTTTCCTACAAAATTAAGGTTACCCTGATGATGGGAGGTGGTCTCTTGGGAAGCCTAACATTAAGGTTTGCATCTTTACATTTCATCTCAATGTCTCAGTGAAGAGTCATAGAGAGCATTTTACTTCCTTCTTTCTCTAATGACTTTTGCTGTGTTATTAAGGAAGATCTTTCCTATGATAATGCCCAAACACTACGTAACGAGGAACAGTCTGCTTAGAGTTACCTTGTCATTAACCAACAATGAAAATAAATCCAGCAGTACACAGTGTGATGTGGTTTACCATTGTGAACAGTGAAAGTACTCAAGACATGTTTATCTTCCGTACACAGTGATATTACCGCTGAACTCCCCTTGGTTCTGATGTCACCTAAACCAGCAGGTGAGGTTTCTGTTCTTTTATATCTAAAATGAGGGGGACTTGTGTTTGTGAGGTATATACAGCCCAGTTTTCCAAGGATAGTTTTGTATTTGTGACCACAACATATTTTAAATTTCAAGTAATACAAATGTTACCGTTTATAAAGTGGCACTGCTATGAAACATTCTAAAGAGCATCATTTTCTTATTTTCTAACTGCATCCGTGTGCATTCTCAAATTGAGCAGAAGTGTAAGTATCAATGTAAACTTTTTTCCCACATTGAGAAAGAATGTTAAACTTCTTTTTGTTTTCGTTTTGAATCTTAGACTCTGAGGCTTTAACAAAAATGAAACTTTTTTTTTAAATCCAGGACTGATATCAACCTTGAATAGACTCTACAGCCAGTGACAGAGAGGAGCAAGTCAGAAGGAGAGACACTCAGGAGTAGATGCAGATTCCAAACAACTTCATTTCATGAGCCATAGACTATAGATGCTTCCTTGTTGCAAATACCTGTGTAAAAGGAATTAGCTGTATAATGTTAAAAATGGGCCAAAGGCCTTGTAGACTAAGATGAACTCAGTGACACTGAAATCAAGCATTGGTCTGATGCTGTCATGTTTATTTTTTCTGCCTTTATCATGGGATCTCAGATTAATGTTTTAGTTTCTTTTTGTATGTGAATGTAAAAAATAAAGCAGTAATGAACAACTTACGATAAATGTATTATCATAATTATAGGCCTATTAAATTGTATTTGTTTTTGTTTTTCTGTCTGCGGTGATGGTGGAAATTAATAAAGATTGGACTGTTATTTCAACCACTATCAAAGTCTTTCCTCATCCTTCATCATCACTTTATATACAGTAGATGCAGGGGATCTTTTTTTTTTATCATCCTAAAATTACACCCACACCCACTATAATATATTGTTAATATACATAGGCCTATGTGTATATACATATACATAGCCTATGTATGTATGTATGTATGTATACACTTTGTTCCAAATTATTATGCAAGTGGCATATCAATAGGATTTTGGTACAATTAAGAGTCAGATATTTGTTTGTGTTGTTTTTCACATCTTTTTAGGTAACTGGTATGAATCTCAGACAGGTTTGTTCAATAGTTTGCCAGGTCTTCTTAGGTAAATGGAAACCCTACTTAAAGAGGTTGTTCCACATTATTAAGCAAGTCACAGTTCTCATGAAATATGGTGAGGAAGAAAGATCTTTCTGAAGATGAAAAGTATGAAACAATGCAATGCCTTGCAAAAGGCATCAAAACAAATAATATTTTGCGAAAAGCAAATAGAGATTATTGAACTGTCAAAAGATTTGTGAGTGACTCAGAGCACCGAAGATCTTGATCAGATAAAGATTTATTACGGAACGTTTCTGTCAAACAAATGACTGTATTGTAATGCCAGCTGTAAAAAAGCCACTGCTGAGCAGCAAACAGGTGTTTGAAGCTACCTCTCCATGCAGACTGGCAGTTGTGTGTTAAGTTGCGTTTCAGTCACTGCTAACCAAACCTCACAAAGAGAAACCTTCACAGTAGCTGTAGAAACACATTTTCAAACTGTTAAGCACCATGGTATTTATGCAGCATGGGATAGTGTGTTGTCCTGCATGAAAATCCTTTTATTTCTGAGAGCCGGAGAGGATCTTGAGACTCCAGTATAGCTTCAAACACCTGTTTACTGCTCAGCAGTGGCTTTTTTACAGCATCTGTTTGACAGAAACTTTCCTTAATAAATCTTTATCTGATCAAGATCTTCTGTGCTCTAAGTCACTCACAAATCTTTTGACAGTTCAATAATCTCTATTTGCTTTTTGCAAAATATTGTTTGTTTTGATGCCTTTTGCAAGACATTGCATTGTTTCATGCTTTTCATCTTCAGGCTGCACGGAGAGGATCTTGAGACTCAAGTATAGCTTCAAACACCTGTTTACTGCTCAGCAGTGGCTTTTTTACAGCATCTGTTTGACAGAAACTTTCCTTAATAAATCTTTATCTGATCAAGATCTTCTGTGCTCTAAGTCACTCACAAATCTTTTGACAGTTCAGTAATCTCTATTTGCTTTTTGCTAAATATTGTTTGTTTTGATGCCTTTTGCAAGACATTGCATTGTTTCATACTTTTCATCTTCAGAAAGATCTTTCTTCCTCACCATATTGCATGAGAACTGTGACATGCTTGATAATGTGGAACAACCTCTTAGGGTTTCCATTTAGGCTACCTGAGAAGACCTGGAAAATTATTGAACAAACCTGTCTGAGATTGATACCAGTTACCCGAAATGATGTGAAAATCAAAACAAATCACTGTTTATTGTACCGAAATCCTATTGATGTGTCACTTGCATAATAATTTGGAACACAGTATATGTGTGTGTGTGTGTGTGTGTAGTCAAAACATTAATATGTATCATGTACATGTAACATTAGTTAGGCTACATAACAGAAGAATCGTATAGGCTTCTGACTTAATTTTTCAAATCTTAAGTATTGTTAAATGGATGTTATGAATATTAATCATCTATTAACAGACTAGTGCAGTGAGTGTCACTGGTAACGATTGAGTCGCCGTTTCTGTATGAATTTCTGAATGAAGATCTTTTCCTGGTTGCTGCAGTAGATTAGCTTTAGCAGTGTCAGTTTAAACTGCATATTCGTTTGTGCGTCTGAATTCACCTCAAATCGCAGCGGCTTTACACACTCAATGTCACCTAAACAGAGCTGCTGTACGACAAAGGTCAACTTCACTTAGTGTTATGCTATACATTCGTGTACATCGTCGTGTAGTTCACCGTAAAAGCGCATAAACATAATAACAAAACGGTAAAGAACAGTGTGAGAGAATGGAGATGCTACTGCGTCACTGTCATCCTATTTAAACTGTTGGTTAGCTTAACCATAAAGGGAAAATAACAAACGTATTCCGAAGTGCATGTTTGACGATCGCTGTATTTTAAAGAGTTGCGGTTGTGCTATTTAAAATACAAATAATTTGCAATTATGTCGAGAAATATCGCCATAGTTGCTGTAATTATGTAGGACAGCGAGGTCTGTAATCATGTTGTCAAATGTCATAGTAAATATGCTGGGTAAATACAGATCAGAGCATATTGATTTAAGTTTGTTACGCAAACGACTCCATAACACTCTGCATCTGACTCTATACTTAAATAGCAATTGCGTGATTATTGTTTTAGCTAGCCCACATATTCTGTTCTTCTTCTTCTTCTTCTTCGTCTTCTTCTTCTTCTTCTTGGGTGATTTGCGGCAGCTTAGACGCTTCAAAGGCGTATTGTTGCCCTCCTCAGTTCATCTGAAGAACTCCATCTCATAGATTAAATCCTCAAATAAAGATCAGTGTGGAGTAAAAAACTTATAACAACCTTTGTTGCTTCATATTCCTTATTTTCAAGAATCGATTTTAAAGATAAAGATGAGACTCCGGATTCCAACAGATCAGAACACATATTCTGTTCTGCATTGGTGTATCATAATATTATTGGGTCGTGTGAAGTTCCCAGCATGCACTGCGCGCCCTACGTTGTTTCCGGTTAGCTGCTGGCTACCGTCAAACACCGGGATGATCAGACCTCATTCACCGGGCCCGTGTGTTTCAAGTAAACCCGCCGGTCTTCGTTATTGGAGCTGTAATATCGATGATTACCGGCAGCAGTACGAGAGTGACAAGCAGTGGTCCGCTAGACGTCAGTTCATTGTGAAACACATTGAAGAGTACGAGGGAAATGCTCTCGATAAGCTACTGGCCTTGTCGATGGTCTGGGTTAACCATGTTTTCATGGGATGCAGGTGGGGATTGGATTGAATGGGATGTGAGAATTGGGCTGTTTAACTGTTTTTGGTGGGTGTAGTTCACCGTAAAAGCGCATAAACATAATAACAAAACGGTAAAGAACAGTGTGAGAGAATGGAGATGCTACTGCGTCACTGTCATCCTATTTAAACTGTTGGTTAGCTTAACCATAAAGGAAAAATAACAAACGTATTCCGAAGTGCATGTTTGACGATCGCTGTATTTTAAAGAGTTGCGGTTGTGCTATTTAAAATACAAATAATTTGCAATTATGTCGAGAAATATCGCCATAGTTGCTGTAATTATGTAGGACAGCGAGGTCTGTAATCATGTTGTCAAATGTCATAGTAAATATGCTGGGTAAATACAGATCAGAGCATATTGATTTAAGTTTGTTACGCAAACGACTCCATAACACTCTGCATCTGACTCTATACTTAAATAGCAATTGCGTGATTATTGTTTTAGCTAGCCCACATATTCTGTTCTTCTTCTTCTTCTTCTTCGTCTTCTTCTTCTTCTTCTTGGGTGATTTGCGGCAGCTTAGACGCTTCAAAGGCGTATTGTTGCCCTCCTCAGTTCATCTGAAGAACTCCATCTCATAGATTAAATCCTCAAATAAAGATCAGTGTGGAGTAAAAAACTTATAACAACCTTTGTTGCTTCATATTCCTTATTTTCAAGAATCGATTTTAAAGATAAAGATGAGACTCCGGATTCCAGCAGATCAGAAAACATGCGGGTTCTTGCAGCACGAAGAACTTCACACTCCATTACTACATGCTGCACACTCCGGATTCCAACAGATCAGAACACATATTCTGTTCTGCATTGGTGTATCATAATATTATTGGGTCGTGTGAAGTTCCCAGCATGCACTGCGCGCCCTACGTTGTTTCCGGTTAGCTGCTGGCTACCGTCAAACACCGGGATGATCAGACCTCATTCACCGGGCCCGTGTGTTTCAAGTAAACCCGCCGGTCTTCGTTATTGGAGCTGTAATATCGATGATTACCGGCAGCAGTACGAGAGTGACAAGCAGTGGTCCGCTAGACGTCAGTTCATTGTGAAACACATTGAAGAGTACGAGGGAAATGCTCTCGATAAGCTACTGGCCTTGTCGATGGTCTGGGTTAACCATGTTTTCATGGGATGCAGGTGGGGATTGGATTGAATGGGATGTGAGAATTGGGCTGTTTAACTGTTTTTGGTGGGAGTTTGGGTGAATACTTATATCACAGAAGTCCTGGTAAAGTTTATTTTATGTCATATTTATACAGGCCATTTTAATTGCAAAGTTATACATGTGAGTGATTCTATAATTGCAGGTACATTTGGTGTCCGAAGTCTATTTTTTTCTGCTTTTTTCCAAATGGTTATATTTTTAATTATTTTAATACGGTGTTACTCATTGTTATGAATTACAAGATGTTACAGTCCATAACAATATAATATTTTTTTGCAAAAAGTGTCTTAACTGAAAATCATGATTTCTTGTTGTCCAAATTAGTCGGTCCATTTTTTCCATCATGTATCATTGTGTAATCAAAATATTTTATTGTACTTGTTTTTTTTTTTTAGTATTTCATTCATTTTATTTATAAAAGCCCTAAAGAGTCATTTACCTAATTCTACAACATTATTTAAAAAAAAAAAAAAACAATTTTTCTTATAAAACTGTGTGTCCGTAAATCTTGCGTCAACTCTGTTACCGTACCATACTTTGCCTTTAAATTAGTGGAATTATCTCCCACAACTATGTAAGATACAGGAAATGATGTCACTTTCTCTCACTGTTAAGATCTGAAGCACTGAAAAGTCTGTGCTGAAAATATTTTAATCTAAAAAGTTCTTACACCAAGAGTTATTTTATAAAGTGTCAAATCGGTTACCACAATATCAAAAGGAAAACAGATTTTTTTCATTGATCACACTTTGTGTTATTTAAAAGTCTTTTAATCATAATTTCATTAGTGCCATGTGCTCTTAGCATTTATGCTAGCAAGTGGAGTTTTTGGCAAAAAATAAAGAAAATACAAACAATACCATAAAGACATGTTTTTCATTAAAAGTAAAAAAAAAAAAAGGAAGTAACTTGTGTTTGGCAAGCACTGAATTATTAAAATGAAATATGTTTTCAATAAGATACTGAAAAAAAATCTGTTAGTGAAAACTTTTTTTTCTTAACTTTCTGCAATGCCAAATATATCTCCAATTATAGAATCACCCATAAGTAATGCCTACCAAAGCATGTCGTCAACATTATGGCTGTTCTTTCTTGGGCCAGCTATGGCTCCCAACTGATGCACAAGGTGCTAGAGATGGCAGAAGGGATTGATGTTGGCGAAATGCCCTCGTATGAACTAGTTCCAAACGCTGAAGCAAAAAAGAGGCCATATTCATCTAATGGAAGTAAGTCTATCAATGCTTGAAATCCGTCTATCTGTCTGTTTATCGATCGATCAATCTTCCTATCTATCACACAAACATTTTTATAATAAATGTTTCAGCATTGAAACATTTTGTGGGAGTTTTGCATCAAATAAACAAAATGTAAATATTTTATGAAGCATTTAAACAAAACTAAATTATAAGTAATCATATTTGCATGCAAATGGGTATTTTAATCATGTATTATTTCATATCTCAGGTGAAGAGCCCATGAAGAAGATGCCTGTGTCAAAATTCACATCCAGACCTCGATTTGAACCGGTACACTTTGTAAGTGGCGGAAGCAGCGGCAGTGGAATCGGAGAAACGGACGAAAAAGAAAACGAGAAGGTGCGCAGGAGGTGTGAGATGAATGACGTAAGACAAAGGGAACCAGATCATCCGCCATATAACGGTAACCGTGGCAACAGCTCCTCTTTCTCCTTGGGCTCCCTTGAGACCGTGAGGTATGGTTATGATTCTTGTCCTGAGCACAAAAGTAAGGATGTGGCCTCGGGCAGCACAAGTGGGCTTGGCTATGGCAGCAGAGGGTCCACCCCGAACTTCATGGGCAAAGTGCAGCAGGAGTACACCGCTAGATATGAGGCGCATACTGCCAGACAATCTGACTCATACTCACAGGCAGGCCGAGCTGATGGATACGGAGGTTCTGGACAGTCTGGAGCCTGGGATAGCGGACGGCGTGGACTGGGATTTGGACATCAGGATAGGCCGACCTCCAGCAAGGCTTTCAGCAGGGTATACGACGGTCCAAGCAGAGGCAGCTCTGGCCTTCTCCCAACACCTTCACTGCCGTCTTCTATCCCCACATCAACAACTGATGAAAAACAGAGGCTGATTACCAGAGTATCAGCGGCCGTTGCCGTTACCCTGAGAGATCCTGCGTTCATGAGTGGACCCGACACGCCAAACTACAATTTCATGCTCAGCCGCAGCATTCAGGCTTGCAAGACAAACCCAGAGTACATCTATGTTAATTTAAGAGATATTCCACCCGCCGACCTTCCCAAAAACAGAAAAGTACCCTCTGAAGGATATGCATGTGAACTGAGGTGTCAGTCTGTGTACCTTGCCACTGGGTACTCTGGGAGCAAAAACGGTGCCAGAGACCGAGCATCAGAACAGGCCGTCAAAATGTTCATGAGGCCAGTGGAAATTCGTGTCCTGCAACGGCAGTACAAGCGTACTTACATTAATGACATGGTGGTGTGCCAGGTAAACACTCCAAACCCAATCCTTCCCCCACCTCTTCGCAACCCTGAGGACAAGCCTCCCCCTAGTACCAAGGGCCAGTATGAGCCTGACCGAAGCAAACACTGGACAGAATTTGTAATCATGGAGAACGCACACGATGCCATCTGTATGCTTAACAACTCGGCTGCGTTCAACCGCATGAAAGTTGATTATACTTTTGACCCGGTTCCCAACAGCAATTTATGGCTCTGTAGTGTGTACTTACAGGATGAGCTGGTGGCGCAAGCCAGAGGGACCAAGAAGAGCTCAAAACACGCAGCGGCGGAGGAGGCAGTAAGGAAGTTGCGAATGAACCAGGCTGCTCGTCAACAAGAGCAACAACAGCAGCAGAATTTTTCTGGAGGGAACCACACTTCAGACCAGCCTGGTAGTCGCTACGCCCAGCAAAGCAACAAGAAAGCGCAGCTAGGTGAATTGGTCATCCTTGAAAACTCAGATAACGCTATTTGCATAATAAATGACACTGCTCAATTTAATAAAGTGCTTGCTGACTACAAGTTCATGGTTCTGCCGGACCATCGCTGGCGGTGTGAAGTTTACCTCGACGGTCAGTATGTGGCTGCAGGCCTTGGACCCAAAAAGACGGTGAAGCACATTGCAGCAGAGGAGGCCCTCGCCACACTTCGGCGCACACAAGCTGTGGTGAAGTCCAACCTCAGGAAGGAGGGCCACATGGATGCAATTTCCCGAAATCAAATCATGGCTCGTTCTGGCGAGGAATCCATGCGGCAGGAGATCAAGGAGGACAACATTGGTAACCAGCTACTCCGGAAGATGGGCTGGACAGGTGGTGGTTTGGGAAGAGAAGGAGAGGGCATTGCTGAGCCCATCAAGGTCAAAGAGCAGTTTAACAGGGAAGGACTCGGTATGGACATGGACAGGCACAGTAATCAGCTGACTAAGCGCGATATTGAGGAAATAATTCGGAATTATGCGAGTTCTGACCGTCAAGATGACCTGCGCTTCTCCACAGAGCTCAACAATGAAGAGCGCCGGCAGATACACCAAGTATCCCAAAGATACGGGCTGCGCAGCAAATCGTACGGACAGGGTCGACAGCGCTTCCTCGTGGTTAGCCGCAGAGTTCAGAAGGAACAGCTGATTGGTCAGCTACTGCAAGAGGGGCAGGTGGGACGATATGAACTGGTGAAACCTCAGGCTTCACAATGACTAGGCTCAACAGGCCTCTGAGAAACCAACAGATGACCATTAATAAAAGCAAAGCGGTTTTACTTGTTACTTCTCCTGTTAATTTGTTTCCAAAAAGTGTAAACTATTTTTTTTAAAAACCGAAGGTGGACTGAAGCCTGGAAAATCTGTCAGTTCTCAATGACAACAGTGTGTATCCTTTGCCACTCTTTACCATGCATTTCTGTACAGTTCGTCCAGATTTGCTGTTGGTTAGTTTGAGACCATATGATGAACACACATTACTAACTAAACTTCGTCATATCACGTATCCTGTGAATGATATTTATTGACATGGATATTAGGGGGGCCTTTTGGCAGCATGTGCTCCTCTCTGAAATGACATTCCATTTTATGTTTTCACAATGGACAGTATATCATTCACTCGGTGTCATTCATCTGTTGTAAGATAAACACTTGAAATATGAAAATAAACTTTAAGTAATTACAAAACAGTATATTTTTGACATTTTCTGGTTGTTGATTGTAGAATTAAATATTTATCTCAACCTTAAATCTTTCAACTCCCTGTCTGGCAAATGCCTAAGCAGCAATCCCTGTGAAGTTGTTTGCCATTGCGAATACTGTCAACCAGTCTGCTTGTAGTGACACATTAAATTTAGTCATTGTCCATTTCCTAGTTCATTTAATGAAATGTAAATGCTTATCTTTGTTCAAGAACAAACACCATAGAGTTCATTTTACTGTTTATTTACAAGAAGTGAGAAAATGTACAGTTTCTTACATGGGTTACTAGTGCAAATCCGACACTCTTGGTAAATTAGGAAAAAAATGAAGATTAGCTTAAATGGATACTGCATGACAGCATCACATCCATATGGTTGGAGAAGCAATTTAATGTTAAAATAAACGGCACTTTAATTGAACTTAAGAAAACGAGCAAAATAACCATGCATCTAGGGTGCAACAGACAAAATTGTGAATACAGAAAAAAGAAAAGCAACACACACTCAACTATGCCAATTTGTAATATTCTGAATCCCAGGCCTCAGGCATGGGGCATTGTGGGACAGACAGATCACTGTGTGTGCCTTCAAACAATTACACCGTGTCAATAGGCAATACCTTAAACAACAGTATGAACTGCTCAATTAAAAGAACAAATCACTTGCACTTGATTAAAAAGGGCCATTTCCAACATTTGGTTCATTACACTTTTCAAACTGGTTTTAAATGTTCAGGTTTTCCAAGTGCAGTTATAAAGGCATGTTTCTGAAACATGTAAGCTTTCCATAGAAGACAATATATATATGCTAACCAACATCCATCTTTAATGTCCTTGCGGTTTCATTTGGAACTCTGAACGACACATTAAGTGGCATTCAGTATGACACTTTTGCAGAGACTCAAAGAAATCAATCTCTAGATTCAAAACTTGGGATTCATACTGAAAACAGCAACCAACATGTGTATACCCAAAATGAAATCAGCCCACAGTGTAGGAGCAACTCATAAAACCAAAGAAATAAGATGACAAAAATGAGGGCAGGCCAAATAAAAGCAAGTAACCCTAGCAACATTTTGTAAAACTAAGGTTTATCCTCATCCAGGATAAGGTTCTGCATGAAGAGGGAGACCACAACACAACAGCACTCTAATCTTGCAACAGCTACAGAACAGACAATTCTACCGAGTACGTGGAGAATGATTCAAAACATGATGCGTTTTATTTTATTTCTTTGCAAGGTGGTTTTCCTCTTGTTGGCGAGGCGGACTATTGTTCGTATGTGAACTGTAAGGTGGGTCAACAGTCACGCCAGCTCTGTTCCACAATGGCCGACACACGCTTCTCATACTCTCTCTTGTTTTCCTGATACAGCTGAGCTGCCTGGCTGTTGGCAGGGCTGTTTGGGTTTGGCTCATCCAGTAAAGACTGTGACAATGAAAGGTATGTTAACAACCTGAATAATGTACTAACATTTTTTTATAAAAAAAACATCAAAAAGGCATAAAGAAAAGTTTCAAAGAAAAAAAAGAAAGTCATGTTAATTAGATTCAAAATTCCAGACTTCTCTTTAGATTTTAAATTCACAATATTGAATTTACAATTTGTTACATTCCCAATACTACAAACTAGTGTTGTCACAGTACCAAAATTTCAGCAGTCGGTATTAATACCACAGTAGGGCTGTGCAATTAATCACATGCGATTGTCAAGCGCATCTCATCAGTAAAGCCGGTTCAGTGATTGGTAGTAAATCGCCATCACCTGCTTTCAGATGGAGCGGCATTTACTACACAGAGACGTAGTTCACTGACAAGCTACACAAAATCGCGTTCAAAATCGGCAATGAATCGCCTGCGATTTTGAACGTGATATTGCGTAGCTTGTCAGTGAACTACGGTTCTGTGTAGTAAATGCCGCTCCATCTGAACGCACGTGCTGGAGATTTACTACTAATCGAACTACGGCTCTGTGTAGTAAATGCCGCTCAATCTGAATGCAGGTGATGGAGATTTACTACTAATCACGGAACCGGCTTTACTGACAAGATGCGCATGACAACCGCATGCGATTAATTGCACAGCCCTATACCACAGTAAATTTCACAGTTTTTGGTACCATAGCAAAAACTATTTGTAGCATGTACCCTTAAAATATTTTTCAATCAAGTAAACATTGCTTTAAAAAGGTCAAGTGAAAAGTAATAAAATGAAAATCAAAGAAATGTATTGTATAGAACAAGTGGCAAATCTTGCAAGATCTATTTTGGCATATCAGATTTTTTGTTTGTCCCATCCACTGCTATGGTTATCACGGAGACAATCATTGCAATTTCAGATTCAGTCCCACATTTAAGTAGTTTGCACTCTTGCCAAAACTCCCATTATAATCAATAAATATATCTACACTGCACAATGAATCTCTTATTTACATGGTCATAATGAAAGCACACAGAACTTTAAACCTTCTGCTGAATAAAAACTCCGAAGTTTTGAGCAGGATTCTCTCTAGCTCTAACGTCTGATTGATCGGAGTGTTCACACGTGCCACCAGTCCTGTAGAATGTCTATCATTACATTTAAAAAATTTCAGTATTGACTTAGTACCGAAGTACTGGTACTTTTGACTACTACAGACAAAGCCTGAATGAAGAAATTCAATTTGAATGTTTCTTTTAATTACTTATATGATACTAATTTGTTTCTTTAATTCTAAAAAAAGTACTTTTCATTGCAAAATGACTCATTAGGAATGGAGTGAGATTAAAAATCCACCAAGCATAGGGTAATGGTGACACCTGATTACAAAAAAAAACTTTTTTTTTTTTTAGAAATTCTTAAGTTTTGTATTTTAGAAAATAGAATGGGCCAACAATCTGGAAACGCAAACAATTTTAAATACTCAATTTTCTTTTTTTTCCCATACTTATCCAGACGTGGAAAATAGTCAAATCAGATTTCATACATTTCCATACTGTATAGGAACCCTGCAGTTTGTGCAAAAAAGCAGAAAGAACTGCAGACATTTCATACCTGTATTGAGGTTAAAATTGAGGAAACATCATATGTTGGACTCCAGCGATTCTGAAGAATGTCCAAACATATACTACCATCTGCATAAACTGAACACAAAGAAATACAATTAGATTTTATGGTCTACTGAAACAAACTTCATAAATGCAATACTAGGATTTTAGAAATATAAAACTTACCATTAGGGTGAAACATTTTGGAGACAAACCGGACTGTAGGAGGTTTGTTTGGATATTCTTCTGTAAATTCTATTGTGAGTTTGAAAGTTCCTATGACAAGCAGAAAAAGAAAATATGAAGCAAAACCATTTGCCACATGTAAGCAAAAAGAACCATACCATGCCAAATACTAGTACACAATTATACAGTGGCACATACAGTATAATCAGTTGTCGGTATTTGGAACCCGAAGCGCAATCCTTATTCAGCTGTCAGTGTGGTTTAAATTATGGTTTACATTATATTAATCTGATCAAATGTGACAGTGAAGACATTTATAATGTTACACAATTTGATTACAAATTTAATAAATAAATAATAATGTTATGAAATATTTTTTTAAATATAGCATTATACAAAAGTTTGGAGTCAGTAAGTTTTTATTTAATAGAAACTGATACTTTTATTCAGCAAGGACACATTAAATTGACCAAATGTGACAGTAAAGACTTTAAGATAAGTAAAACCAAAAAAAGACACAAAAAAAACAAGACATGTTTCTTGAGCAGCAAATCATATTAAAATGATTTCTGCAGGATCTTGTGACATTGAAGACTGGGGTAATGTTGAAAATTTAGCATTGCCATCACAGAAATAAATGTAATTAGAAAACTTTCATTTCAACTTTGTCATTTTAAATAGTACTAATAGTTTGCAATATTACTGTTAACTGTATTTATCAAATAAAAGCAACCCGTGAGAGCAAAAATAATAATAATACTAATAATATTTTTTTAACTGACCCCTAAACTTTTGAAGTTATTTCTCCAACTGCCACATTAAAACTGAAAAAAATATTTTGAAATAAACATGTAACAGTCTGTGTTTTCTTGACTTACCATCTTCAAAGGGTGTTCCTTCAGGGCTGTAGGCAGAAGAAATGGGTCAACATGTCAGGTTACACATAACACTTGGCATGACAGCAAGAAGCAACGCCAAAATCACCAGCCCTGCGCATTAACGTTACTGTAATCCAAAAATAACAAGGCACACAGTCTACGGATATGACATTATAACCTGTTTCCTTCACCACAACAACAACACAACACACAGCTCTATTCAGGACACCGTCACTTCAAAGATCAAATAACCAGCACCTCTTATGGGGGACCACTGGCCATCTGGCCTATTTAACACTGCTTACATTATCGCTAACAAGCTGGATGTCATCTCACAGACCTCGAATAGTCTGAGATAAACAAAATTGCCAGTGTGTTCTGTTCACTGCTCATCGCTGTCAAAAAAAGCACATGATACAAACCCAAAAATGACAGCGTTCCAGACCATGATGTTGTTTTCCGACGGGGCTCCGCTAACTCCTGCCGGTGGATCCTCCTGGAGACTGAAAACAAGTTACCCGGAGAAGTTACAATACATATACTACACCTACATTACGACAACACTAAATACTGCACAGATAGCATCCAAATACATGATCGGAGAGGAATAATGACGTTTATAAATGGCAGTTGAGGGGAAAAAGTCGCCATGTTAAAGCCCGAGAGCAGCCGGTGTTCATGCAAAAAGCTACCGAGGGCCTTTAGCATTTTCTGTCGCTTACCGTTTAAAATCTCTCATCAGACGCCGTCTTGCTGGGGTTGACATGGTTTAATTGGATAGCCAAGACGTAAACATAAGGTATCGACGTTGTTATTTTGAATCAGGTTCAATTCTTTTAATTCAACGGACGTCGGCTTCCTCGATTCGGTTAAATATCGATGTTAGCCGTTCGCTTGCTTGGATCCTCCTGCCTGTTTTCTCTACTAAACCCGTCTCTCTGGGACTGGACCATACCAACACAAAGTGGGGGACAAACAACTGCTCGATGATATAAAAGTGAGCTCGTTCACACAACTGTAAACCTATTCGTGGTTTAGAAGTCAGTGGTAAAGCATATGTGTGACTGGCTTTATTAATTCGAGTGATTTCAATTAATAAGAAATACAGATATATTTAAAGCCGTTTACAGGAAACCCTTCAAACATGTACAGTTGTAGCGGCCTAACATAGTTACGTCATGAGTTTGACAGTCATGGTAGGTACAGGAGCGTTCAATATTGTAACTTACAGTGGAGTGGAGTAAGAAAAATATATGTGACAACGTTAACTCAGTTACATTTTTACTTATTTTACGGTTTACTAATGGGCAAGAAATTAAATCACTCGCGGTTAGTAGTAAAATATATTTATTGGCATTATTATTATTCGAATACATTCCTCACAGACCGTGTACTGATTAAGTCTTGTAAAATTATCATCAAAGTATCACAATGACTTTATCTGTTTTGTCCTGAGTAACCTGTGCTGTTTATTAAAATAGAAAATCAGTTCTTCACAGTGTACATTTTTAAGGTACGAAACAAAAAGTGAACTTACATATACAGTGATCATTTTTTTAAATGAGTTAAAAAAAATTTACACCCAACTATTGGTGACATTATTGAAGTGAAACATAATTACAGTGCATTTGTTAAAATGCTACATTTAACAGAGGCTGGCATTTTTGTTCAATTAAAAAAAATTATCAAGAAATCTTAAGTGTTCACATTGCTCAAAGTGAAAGTAAAAGGCTGACCTCTCTGAGGTATATCACAATGCATCCTTGAAGAATATACACATAAAATATTAAATAATGCACATTTTACAACATTAGACAAATTACATAAAAAAAGATCTATCAGTTATGAAACAAAATCCTTCACAGTTAGATTAGCTATTGCATTGAAGGCAGGCTCCCCAGGTAGGAACTCCCCAAGAATGTATGACAGCAGCATCTATGGACACACAAACACAAAGAATATAAATGTTAATCTGGATATTTGTTTCAAAATGGATTTAACCGCATAAGAAACTTAGCTAGAGTCCTCACATAAACCAGTTTCTTGTTCTCCTCAGTGTCCTGGAAGATCTTGAACACAGTTTCAACATCAGTCTTCTTGAGAATTAGAGAGTTTGAATCTAAAACCGCCACAACAATTACTGGATATTGGTAAGGATGAAAGAATCATTTAAAAAAATGAAGTGGGCAGTCTAAGGCAAGGGGAAATATTGCACATACATTTTGAATTTATAAGCTGCAAAGCCTTCTCCTTGGTCTCGTGTTTCTCCTCACTGTCACGTGGCGGCTGGATGGGCGCGTTTCCTTCTGGCCATATCTTCTCCCGGAAATTGTCAATGTAGGACGCAATCTGAGCTTCAGTGGGATGCATCTTTTTTAAAAAGTTGGTTATTTTCCTGCATGGGAAGAAAGCTTATGCTTATCTTCACAACTACAGCTGAATATCTTTGGTGTTTGAATAGATATGGAATGGGATACTTACTTCTTTACCAAAGGCTGGACTGCTTTTAGAATGGCATCAACAATGTTAATGAGGACTGAGTTACCTGAAGATGGTACAGACAAATATTGAATGGCAAAAGAAAAATCAGTTTTAGTTTCGGTTCTTGGCTATCATAAAAGCCAAACAGAACAAGGAAGTTACATCATACCCGTTATTTCCTTAACTAACTCAAATATGGCTTTGGTGGCCTCAACTTGGTCCCAGTTGTTCTGGGGTTCCTTTTTCTGTGCCTGAGGCTGATTTGCCATCTCGTCCTTGAGCTGTCCCGTTTTCTCTTTTACTTTGACCTTTTGAGGTCCATTTAACTTTTTTTTAGTTAACTTTTCTTTTTTGTTTGTTTTGCCCCCAGACTGAGCACTTGTAAAGCCATCGACTGAGTCAGACTGTAAACCTTCAGTATGGTTCATGACTGAGCTTGAGATATCACTGGAGTGTCCTGAAGGACTGACTAATTTTGACCTATTAACAAAGATATCTAAACTTTCAGCAAGACTCTCTTGTCCATCTGAAACCACATCCTGCTCATCAGAGGTCTGATCTTCCATATCTGGTTCTCTACTTTTGAAGGCGTCAGTTTCTTCGTTTGGTCCTTCTACAATGCCCCCCTTTGGCTCTTCATCGGTGTCGATGCAGGCTGGCTGTGCTGTCGACTGTCCACTGTTATGAACTGAGGCTCCTGCTCCATCAAGCTTTTCTTCTCTTCTGGGATTATGGGACTGAGAAAAAAAAACATAGTATCACCAGAGGGTGGCAGTATTCTCAATAATTTGCATTGCGCTGAAGCTAAAGGTATACACTGTGTTCCAAATTATTATGCAGGTGACATATCCAGGGGGGGGGGGGGGGGGGGGTTTTTTTTTTTAATGTCACTTGCATAATAATTTGGAACAGTGTATGTCTACTATAAATCAACAAACTTTAGCTCTTTGGATAAGACATCAAATCTTGATGTATGTATATTGATAAAAAAATATATATACAGTTCAAAAGTTTGGGGCTGGTAACACACAGCATACATTTTTTAAAATCTTAATTACTCCAAACTTTTGACCTGTAGAATATGCTGTAAATCAACATAATTTAGCTCTATTTGGACAATATTTCAAATCTTGCTGTATTTATATTGATCCAATTATATAAAATATTGTTATAAATATACTACCATTCAAAGATTTTTAAATGTTTTGAAAGAAGACTCTTATGCTCACCAAGGCTGGATTTATTATCAAAAATACTCTAACAACAGTAATATTGTGGAATATTATTAAAAAAAATTTTTATTCTATTTTAATTTATTACAAAATGTAATTATTTTTGTATGATGGAAACGCTGAATTTTCAGCAGCCATTACTCCAGTGTCACATAATGAATAATGCTGATTTGCTGCTCAAGAGACATTTCCTATTATTAATGTTGAAAAAGGTTGTGCTGGCTAATATTTCCTTTTTTGAACCTTTGTTCAATTTAATGCATCCTTGCCGAGTAAAAGTATTTACTTCTTTCAAATAAATCTTACTGACCCCAAACTTTTGAACAGTAACATTTCATCAGTTTCATCATGAGGTTTCCATTAAGCTATTGACCTAAATCTGTTTTTACCTCATCCTCATCTTGGCCAGGATTAAGAAAGCTTGCAAGTCCATTCAGAAAACTCCAGACACCTCCCTTATGTTCCTTATTACTAAGCAGCTGTACAATGGGACACAAGAACTGGAATACAGGCTGAGTGTGACCAAGCTGTGCATCAGAAACCAGCTCCTGAAGAAAAATGAGAGGAAAACATTTCCAGGTATTCATTTCAACTGATAACCCCTTCTTTAATCCTAGATAGTGTGTTTGTGACAGCTTACTTGTAAAAAGTGCTCCAAGGCTGATCCAACTTCTTCTGCATATGCACCATCAAGATCCTGCTTTGTTTTCTCTACTATTGCAGATATAGAGGGTAAAGTGGAAGTATCCTTAAAAAAACAACAGAAAGAGAAAAAATTTTTCAAAGCAAGCAACTACATACATTAATCAATAATAATGAGTAAAATATTAATGACTATAATACAAAATAGTATGGGTTTCGATACAATTGATGCATTGAAGATTCCTCACTATTTCCTCTCTCACCTGCCAGAGGCTGTGAAACTGAAGTATTTCTGATTGGGTCTTTTTTACATCCCAGTTGAGATTCTCAGGGTTATTTTTCTCCTCCAGGTGAAGCGTGAAACACAGCTCTTCATTTTCCTTTTGAACCTAAGACAATGGGTTTTTTTACTTATTCAACTCAACTTAGCTTGTACGTTGTTTAGCTTTCCTTGTTTTTAACATATGCCTTACATTTGTAACACGGACTGCCCACTTCCCCACCCGCCACATCTCATAGGAAAGCCTAAACTCCATCATATCCTCTTGGACATTTGTTGTTAGGTAAACATCCATTTCACTGTCCTTTTAAAAGAAAGCACAGACAAACTTAGTTGCACCGAAAGCTTAATGCAAATCAATTCAATATGCACACTTTCCATACATAATCCATGCCATAGTCCATGCCGCTTCTAAAGGAGCCCTCTCTGCTGCTTGCACAATCATCTTCAATAACAGCAGATCTTCGTGCTGATAAAGCCCTCTGTAAAAGCTCTTGCTCCTTCTTCTTCTTATGGTTTTTCTTTTTGGCTTTCTTTGACTTGACCTTATCAACAAATTTAGAAAATCGTTCTTTGATCCCATTGCCTGCTTAGATAACATTGAAAAAGGTAATTCAATTACACTTTATTACATTATTCATGTACACTTACTGCTCATAAATCGAATTACTGAGATGAAAGAGAAAGAAACATCACCCTTCTTCTTTTCTTTTGTGTCTTCAGACCGACCATCCTCTGCTTCATCTGTCAATCTGCGGAATTTGTGAAAACCAGAATTAGGCCACCAACTGAGATTAATATAATGATGAATATGCTAAAACTTTATATTTTTGAGATAACTTACACTTCTGCTTCTTCACTTCCCACGGAAGATGGTGTGCCTTCCCTATCTGAGTTTAGCAGGTCTCCTGTTGAGCTTTTAGAGGTTACTCTATCCAGCTGCAAAACCACCATCTGATTCAGGTTGTCTGGATTACAGAGGCATGTCACGAGCACATCAAGAGCTAGAGATGGACAACAGAAATAACAAAGAATCAGTAAATTAGTAGAAAATACACAATACAATTAGTACAGTATATTACAAATATTTCTTCAGGAGCAATGCTTTATCTACTCCAGATGACTTGGTTTCTTATTATAACGAGGGACTGCACAGTGTACTTGATACACTTGCACCTTTAAAAACTCACACTGTTTATTTTACTCATTCTGCACCTTGGTTTACATCAGAACTAAGACAACTTAAAACTAAGGGGCGTCGCTTGGAACGTTTATACATTAAAACTGGACTTAATGTTCATAAAGATATGTA